GGGGGGGGGGCGCGGGGGGGGGATGCAAAAGGCAGCTGATTGATGTTTCTCTCTCATCTATGTTTCTAACTCTCTATCCCTTTCCTTTCCTCTCTGTAAAAAATCAATAAAGAAAAAAAAGGTTTTTAAAAAAAGGTAAAACAAAGCAGATGAAACTAATTTTAATAATACATTTTATTTAATACAATACATCCAAAGCATTACTGTTTCAACTTGTAATCAATGTAAAATTATTAACAAGGCATTTGACATTCTTTATTTTATATAAAATCTTTGAAATCTGGTATGTATTTTACACTTACAGTGCATATTAATTCAGACTAGACACATTTAAAGATAGCACAGCTCAAGAAGGCAGGGATTAAAAATTAACATCAGATCCATACCATATATTTGTACAGATCTGTACATTATTCTGCATATACTTATTTTAAAGAGACGAAAAGCTTAAAATTGTGTTTTAGAATTTAACATATTTTGGCCAAGCTCTTTTGGAACTTTTGCAGAAGGAGAAAGAAGGATGGTGGTTATCTCAAGATCCACCAAATTTTTTTTTTTTTTTGTAATCAGAGGTTGAGATTATTGTTGGGATATTTGAGAGTTTCATTGCCATTTCAGATGAATCTGAAGACCTTAATAAAAAGTATAAGATACAGTTATCCTTACGCTCCTAGTCATTAAGTGCTAGCTATGCATCTATTGTGTATTTCTCATAATTATCTCACATACATTTACCATTGGCCTCTGCGTTGCCAGGGCTGTCTTGCCTGGGACTCCTCGACTTTCCGTTATTTCACACTTCGCCACCCTACTTTCCACCCCTATTTCATAAAAAGTTTGTCGATGGTCCTCGTGACAGCGACTCCAGGTGTCAGCAGAACCACCACTGCTAAGACAGAAAAAAACCCCAAGTTTTGCCCAACCTTTGGGGAGGTAGTCAAGGGTCCCCTAAATTCAACACTTAATTTTAAGAAAAGAGAACAATGGTTTCAAGGAAGCAATGGAAAGGCTATGCAGGTTTTCTGTGCTCGGACCACCAACCACTTGCCCTCTGGTCGCTCCAATATCCATTTGCAACGAAAGTATCCCATTATTCCCACGCCAACAGCCTAAGGTGCAAATCTGGAGTGAGCGCCCTGGGAGGGCGGGAGTTCGCGATCACTTCCGGGTCACCGGGGCGGGGGGACGGGCTGGGGGGTGG